TCTCAGCCACCTCTAGTTCCTGGCACATATTACAAATTACAACTGGTGGGGAAATGGAATCCCAGTGAAAAATAATGACCTATGGATGAAGGTGGTCATTTCAGCAGAGTTTGCAAGACTTGGGCTGGTGCAGATGCAGTCTCGGGTCAAGTGGCATTCATTCCGTCTAGCTGCTTGCTTCTCTACCTTGTTGCACGTCTGCCTTCAGTCATTTAAAATAAAAACTGCAAAGTCATTTAAAAGACATCTAGGTTGGGTTTTTTTTTTTTTTTTTTTGGCCTGTCACTTTAGACCTTGTGTGAATTTCACACATCAGTTTTGATTACCCTCAGTACTGAACAAATAGGTTTATCGTAATACATGATGAGTCTAATGTGATTATCCCTTCTTCCAAATACTTTATAAAATGCTCCCCAAAGTACCCTCATTTGTATTTACTTAGTAATTGGCATAGGGATATGCAAAATCAGTAGGAACTGCCTTACCTCTTACTTAGATTCATGTGTGATTCAAAGTAAAAAATTAAAATTAAAAATTAAATATTTATATTATTGAAGCTTTTTACTTTTTTTTTTTGAGACAGAGTCTCACTTTGTTGCCCAGGCTAGAGTGAGTGCCATGGTGTCAGCCTAGCTCACAGCAACCTCAATCTCCTGGGCTCAAGCAATCCTGCTGCCTCAGCCTCCCGAGTAGCTGGGACTACAGGCATGCGCCACCATGCCCGGCTAATTTTTTCTATATATATTAGTTGGCCAATTAATTTCTTTCTATTTATAGTAGAGACGGGGTCTCGCTCTTGCTCAGGCTGGTTTCGAACTCCTGACCTCAAGCAATCTGCCCGCCTCGGCCTCCCAGAGTGCTAGGATTACAGGTGTGAGCCACTGGGCCTGGCCGCTTTTTACTTTTTTGACAATTTCTAAAAGCAACACTTATTCCTAGGTACACATTTCAAGGGTTCCCACTTCACTGACACTATCAGCATGTGTTTGATTGCATCTCTTAATATATGCCAGACTTTGGGGCTAACTTGCACTTTGTGAAATACATATAACATCATTAGACACAAACTCAATCTAACATAAAGATATCTGAGCATCTATTAAAAAAAGACAATCCCAGACTTGATCAGTATGACTCCTATACATTTGGTATTTGTGTACACAGGTTAAAGACATGGCCAATAATATCCAAGTCAAAATAGAACAGTTAAATATACATATACATATACATATATTTTAGCAATAAAATCAATCAATACATCTCCATGCTAATTCTTTGGGAATGACATTGACTTAAAGACTATCTTGTTTATTTTTCACATGATGACTGAAATATCTATGCATAGTATTACTTTTATATGTAAAGTTATACTGTGTTGACAGATTTTGTAGTCTTTTTATTACAGGGCAGTATAAAAAAACCTTTCTTTCCACGACTACCAAAGAAAGCATTGGGGTTAAATGACAGAGCTCTCCCAACTATTTGTCTGTCACAGAGAACAGTAAATTGCAGCCTGTCTCAAGATTGGTGTTTAGACACATTCTGAGATTAATGGTTTTGCATAGACACTTTGGACTCCAAGTGATTTTGAGATGAGCTCTATCAAGAATATCCTCTGGCCTAAACTAAGCAAAAGGGCTTTGTGTAGTTTAGTATTATGAGTTCTGTGTAAATGAAGTTTTATTGGTATGGACCATACTGATGTTGACAATTATATGGCTTTCTTTATGTCTTAAAAAATGAAGAAAGGTCTTTAGCTAAATCCATAGTAACTGGCCCCGTTAATGTTTTGCTTTTATAACTCCAGAGCACAGAGTTATGTTATTTGTTTCCTACTGAACATTTTCAACAAGAGTGTGCTTTTGTACTTCAAGAAACAGATGTCCAAAGAAACTTTTGATATGATAAATGAACAATCACAAAGAAAAAGTTAGTTAAGGAGTGTGAGTCACATGAGAAAACAATTCAGCTACCAATGTGCTGATTCATTTATTTTCAATAACATCAGTTTATTTTTAGTGCTACACTATAATGTGATAGGTATACTTACAGCTGGCGAATTTGAAAACCTTAAAGGTAATGTACTGAATATTGAAATATGCAGAAGTCACACAAAGGAAAAGTGCATAGTAGTTTATGCTTGCATTTTTTAGCAGTTATGCTGACTACTTCTATAAATTAATTTCTCTATATGGACCTATCATGAAACTCATGAGAATAAGAGGTTTAAAGTAACAGATTTACATACAGTAATTTCTTTTCCCTTTAGTCTCAATGTTGGTTCACACAAGCACTTGGATAAAAATAAGTTTTAGCTCTTAATATTTTAAGCACGTTAGTCATATATTAAAATTAGGAATATTTTCCTGATGTTCAACCTATTTATTTAAGTGCTTCCCAAACATCAAAAAAATCACAGTATAAGACCGAAGAGATAAAATCCAATCTTAATGAAGAACTTTAACCAAAAAAACTATATAACAAAATTATTTCCCTGGTAGGTAATCTGTAAGAATTATTGAACAAATAATTATTAAATACCACTTGTGAACCAGATATTTTGCTAGATAAGGTCAGAGATGTGGCCGGGCATGGTGGCTCATGCCTGTAATCCTAGCACTCTGGGAGGTCAAGGTAAGAAGGTTGCTTGAGATCAGGAGTTCAAGACCAGCCTGAGCAAGAGCAAGATCCCATCTCTACTAAAAATAGAATAATTTGCTGGATGTCATGGGACATGCCCCTGTAGTCCCAGCTACTCAAGAGGGTGAGGCAGGAGGCTCCTTGAGGCCAGGAGTTTGAGGTTGCTGTGAGCTGTGATGACTTCACTGTACTCTAGCTGGGGCGACAAAGTGAGACTCTGTCTCAAATAAAAGGTCAGGTCAGAGATGCAAGTACAAGACATGGGCACTGCCCTGCTTAGTGCTATCATCCAATCAGTGGTGTGATGGTCACAGCTACAGAAAGAGAAGTGCCAGCAACAGACAGAAACATTTGCTCTCCTGTGTGAGTTCGAATGAAGAGAAGGCTCTTCCAGCCCAGGAGGTCAGGGATATTGGTTAGAGAAAAGCAGAAGAGAGTGACAGAAGCCACGCTTGGAGTTGGCATTAGGGGTAGCATGCAGGAATAGAAGCTAGAAAAGTAGGAAAGGAAAAGGCAAAATCAAAACCAATACCTAAAAGTATGCGCTTGAACACCAAATGGCCTGGGTTCAATTCCTCCCTCTGACCACCAGTTTGCATGTGCTATTTACCCTCACTAGCCCCAGCCTCCTCATCTGTATAATGCCTTTCTTATTGAGTATTGTAAAATTTAAATGAGTAAGGTGTATAAAGTGATTTGCATTAACTAATATTATTTTTTTTAAAGTAAACAAAGATCCAATTTGACTCCCTCTAGAGAAGTGATAGAAATGAGTCTAAAATGTTATGGACAAGCCCTAAAAGCTAGACTAAGAAATTTGACCTTGTCACCTTTATTGAGTAACCATTGGGAGCCACGCAAAATTTTTAAACAGAGAAGAGATCCTAGGAAAGTGGTGCTTAGAAACCCTAGTGACTATGGCAGGGTGCGATTGCTTACCATAAGGAGAGACTGGGGAAGGGAGGGAATTGTGGCCGACTAGACACCAAGCGAAGCGGGTCTGACATAGGTGTAGAAATGGGGATGGAGCCGGAGTGTTTGGAAAAGCAAATGGTGCTTTATCGGTTTGTTATAACTAACCCCCTGCAACAATCCATCTACTCACTAAAGGCTTTCTTTATGTTATCTGTGTAAAAGTCACTGCAGAAAGCAAAAACAGAGCCGAGATGGTGTGTCTTTTTTGAAACACATGTTTGCAGATGAAGGTAGATGGGGAAAGCTAAGCTGTAGCTGGGCTCCTCGCACGTGTTTGTTCCGGAGTCCCCTGCAGTTTCCTTCTCGGGTCTCTCCCTTTATCACACGCATGCGATGTCCCTCTGAAACCAAATACTGGCAGGAAGATTCTATGGCCCAGAGGAGGATGAGGCAGGACACATCTTAGCCTTTTTGTCTGACTGTTACCAAATTATATTTATTACTGGCTAATTCACGCACAGGGAGGACAGCCTTCAGCTCTGTTGGGGAGTCCTGCAGTTCCAGGGATATGCTTTTGGCTACTGTTAGTAGTGCTGCTATGAACGTTTGTGTGCAAGCATTTGTTGGAGTACCTGTTTTCGATTTTGGGGACATATCCCTAGGAGTAGAATTACTGGGTCATATGGTTAACTTTTTCCAGAAAGAGCTAAACTGTTTTTCACAGCAGCTACATCATTTTACATTCCCACCAGCAATGCACAAGCGTTCCAATTTCTCCATATTCTCACCCTACTACGACCATCCTAGTGAACGCAAAGTGATTTCTCATTGTGGTTTTCATTTGCATTTCCCCAGGAACTATGATGTTAAGCATCTTTTCCTGTGCCCTCGACCATTTGTATATCTTCTTTGGAGAAATGTCTATTCAAGTCAACTCATATGTTTTCAAGTGTATAAAGTACTTAGCATACTGCAAAGAAAACCATAAGCAGTCTATAAATAGTAACTAGTGAAAACTACAGCAATGACAACAACAGTAAGGAGATTTGGATCCCAGTCTGGGTTGCACAACAGCTTAGATGTGTGTCTTTAATCAAGTCCTTGAGGTAGCAAACTTAAGAATAGACACTGGATGGCCGGGCGAGGTGGCTCACGCCTGTAATCCTAGCTCTATGGGAGGCCGAGGTGGGCGGATTGCTCGAGGTCAGGAGTTCGAAACCAGCCTGAGCAAGAACAAGACCCTGTCTCTACTATAAATAGAAAGAAATTAATTGGCCAACTAATATATGTAGAAAAAAAAAGTAGCCGGGCATGGTGGTGCATGCCTGTAGTCCCAGCTACTCGGGAGGCTGAGGCAGGAGGATTGCTTGAGCCCAGGAGTTTGAGGTTGCTGTGAGCTAGGCTGATGCCACGGCACTCACTCTAGCCTAGGCAACAAAGTGAGACTCTGTCTCAAAAAAAAAAAAAAAAAAAGAATAGACACTGGAAAGGTACTGACTCAGTGTCTAGGGCTCTTTTAAATTGTGTTTACTTATTTATTTTTGCTCCTGTTAAATTCGGGAGTATAGTCAAAATATAAGCTTGAATACAGGGGACACATTAGCAGAGACCGGCCATGCTTTTCAGTGGCACTTGACATCCCCTTCCGCTGGCCACGGCTCTGCTGGGACCGGCCGTGGCATCTCTGCTCCGGAAGCCTCCTTGTGTCCGATGGGTCCAGGTGTCGTTCCTGTCTGTCTTTCTCTGCCTGCCATCCTCGCTCCTCCTCTGCAGCCCTTCGGACCTGGAGAGAGGGAAAGTGAGACTTCAGTGGCGAGAGCCCGCGGCGTTCCTTTCAGGAACTTTGAGTGATCATACCTTATCTGTCCATCGGGGAGTGATGCCGAAACGCGACTGCAGACGGTAGATGCGCATCTGTGGCAGGCTCACATCTCAGACGAGTGGCGTGTTCGTGAGCGCGCCTGATAGTGCTCAGCGGCACCAAACTTCAGCAGCTTATTCATGGCCAGAAACTAGTTTCTCCCCGCCCCCCACTCAGGATTCAGCGCATCTCAGTGAAGGCTGCAAAGTCCTTATTGCACATATTTAGTGTGAATTTGAGGCCAAAATAAAAAGCCAGTTCGGCATGATCATCAACTCATAATGTGCGTGACCAAGGCTTTGGGAGATACAACCCAAAGCGATAATTAAAAAATAATCTTCCTGTCTCTATTAAATCCTAGGAGTTGGGAAGGAGAGAGGAAATCCCAAGTGGGCTTTTCAGAGCTCTCCAAGTTACCTGAAGAAGCCTAGTTTCTGCCCCCTGAGAAGGGGCTGCCTCTCCGTTGTTGGAGTGCTGGAGATTTCTCCAAGGTCCCTGCTATGTGGAGGGACTGCCTTGCTCTGCCTAAGGACTCACCATTCCTGGTCTCTGCAGTATAGGATGATTTTAATCTACTTACTTTTAAACAGGTTTTAATTATGTTGAAAAAGTTTGTGTTGCCATTAACTGTCAGCCTGATTTCTTTATCTAGGATTTTCTTTAAGGTCATTTTTCTCTATGCAGTCACCTGATCCTGATTTTAGCTGTAATCATTTACATGGCATTAGTGGACTGTGCCATCTGTCAGGAAAGTGAACTATCAGTGTCCGGAGCATATCTTACCTCACACACCATGCTGGGCAGACCATGCATGAAGCAATCTCTTGAGTTGGGCAGTGCTGCTAGCCCCAATTTACACAGAAGTTGAGGCTTAGGGAATTCCAATAATTCTGGAATTGATGGATAGCAGAGTGATGATTTGAACATTACCTCTAACCCCAAAACCTATGGTAGTTCCACCAAATCCTCTGCTGCTAGAATAAAGTGCCTCTCTAATGGATTTGAAGCCGGGAGAATGAGGTAGCCAAAAACATCTGTATTTCTGTTCACCCATTTGTACAAGGGTTGCACAATCATGCTTTTGAGGATGGCATTGGGGAGTTTGCAAGAAGCTTCCCATTCTTGCAAATAATGAGCCTACAGCATCTCTCTCTTTTGAGGTTAAAAAAACAAATGCTACCGCCATGTGGTTTCATTATAATCACACTTTTTAAAATACCTATATAACTTCTACTAAGCAATAAACATCTTTTGGTCCCTAGGATGAAAATTAAGGAAAGATTTTCATTATAGCAATTAAACTGTCTAAATGCAACTGAAATATGAAAAAAAATCAAGAAATGTAATATTTGTCCCTGCTTGATGAAAACAGCTTCCAGTGTTATATTCTTAAAATAACATTTAATTAACTTTTAAATAAGAATATGAACCTTACTTTCCCTTTTATTGTAAGTTTTTCTAAGATATTTTGGTATTAAAATTAAGGCTTACCCACACATATACACAAAGATGCTGTAAATAAAAACATTTCTGGTGGTGCATTTAATGAATCCTACAAAATATTTGAGTAATCTCTAAACATGAAGAATCTGGTAGTAAAAAGTAAATAAATGTATTAATGATTTAAATTAAAACTTGATGAAGTATACTATCTATGAGTCCAAATATTAAAAATGAACATTTATAGTATATTGAAATAAATGTAAATTGATGCAAATTAATAGTTGTTAGATTTTATACCAAGCTCCACATAGAAAATGGATTTTAAAAATTAAAAGAATATGACAAGAAAAAAAGCCTAGCAAAATGCAATAAAATAGATTCTTAGAAAATCTTTTCAACTTATAATTCAGTGCAAGAAGGAATAAAAGCGTCATGAAGGAGAAAAAAGCTTCATGAGTGAGGTTAAAGGTGATAAAGGAAACCAACTTGTTCCATGTCAGTAATAGACCCAGTAATAGGCAAAGTAAAAACTGAATTTAAAGAATTTGCAGAGGTAACTTTGAAAAAAGAGAATAATAAACGAGGCAGGAAAAGTTTAATTTGTTACACAGGCAGCTGAATATTCCTTTTACATTTCTGGCATTAAAATATCAGCATTGCATGGTATAGAGGAGTATTTTGATGTTATATTGCATTGTTTTGTACCATAACGTCGTAAAATGAGTTCAACATTTTCAATACCCTCTTCCTCAGGCCTTATCTTACTTCTGTAATTGGAGGAAATGAGCAGGAAGGACATGATTAGAACCAAATTTCTAGGAATCCTGCCGGCCCTTCTGCCCTCTATCACTGATGCCTCTTTGTTGGGCTGCTCAACTTGTATATACATCCCATATTTCCTTATTTACCCCTTACCAGATTTAGTCTAGTGTGCAAATCCTTTATACTCAAAATTTTTCAGGTGTTTTATACACCAGGTAAATTTTAGTTGTTTCTTCTTGTTACCAAAACCTTGGACCTCCCTCAGGAAAATACATACATAGATGCATACACACACACACACAAGATCAAAGCATTGGGTCATGATAGTTCTTCCTCTCTCAGAAATCTTGAAAAGCCTTCTAGCTCTCTCTATTGCAAACACTAGGGCTACAGATGAAAGGAAGAGTTTCTGTCTCCTCTTCTTCAAGGTAAAGCCAGCCAGAGAAACAGAGCATTGTCATGCAAGGCATGGTAATAACACAGCTCCTGTAGGGTCACTGATGTCAGACTGGAGTGTCGGGGAAAGCTTCCCGGAAGTCATACTTGACCTAAGAGTTTGCAAAGGCAAGAAGGAAGCTAAGAAAGTCTGTAGGCAGAGGCTGCAGACTGTGTGGAGATACAGAGACATGGCATGGCCCAAATATATTTATATCACAGGACTGCAAGGAATCCTGTGCAAGTGAATTTCTGAGTGGAAGGCAAGCTATAGCTGTGGGCAGGGCCAATATGTCATCAGTTATACCCATGTGCATTTCCCCCCTTGATCCTAAATGTTTTATGCATTCACAAAGCACCTTTTTTAAATATTTTGGCATAGTTCCACAGTCTCAGCTAATACCTTGGAAATAGAAGGTTTAGATCGTAGCTAGCCATGGACAAAGGTACAAATACCCCACGATATACCCTCCTTCTGTGACTTGGGTTCCTTTCCACTATGCCTGTTTATCACCCCCTGAATCTGCTCCTGGTGCCTTCGGGGCCATGCTCCATCCACGGCATCTGTTGCCATGGTTTTGCTCTCTTCCTCTTTCAAGGACTTGAAATGTCCGATCTCCTTTTGTGTCCATTCCAGCCAGTCCTCTGGCTGTCCCCTTGATGGCAAGCCCAGAAACCGAAGGACCCACTTTCAGAGCCGTCTCCTGCTACTGAGGCTTCAATCAGGCAAAACATTGATCCCTTTTTCCCAAGAGGGAAACTGTACACAAATAAATTCTGGAAAAGCAAACTATTCAAAGAATATTTAGATATTAGTATATTAATATAGACAGCTGTTTTATTTTCCAAACCTGTTATCCTTTTGTCCTGTGCCTGACACATTGCTTGGTACTAAAAACCCTGCACTGGAAGATGGAGCTTCTGGGTTATCTCAGGAATGAGTCAGGGTGTGTACACATGTGAACAATTATAATTATTCTAATACCTGCTCAGCTACCTCCAGGGTCCTGCCTAATCAGACATATTTCTTACAGATTCAAAATGTGCCTAGATCTTTTCTCCCATTCCCATTATTTTAGACTTAAATTGTGATATGTCTTCTTAATCATTGATATTGACACACTTGGTATTTGTTCTTAATCATTTCTCTTCCCCCCCCCTTTTTTTTTTTGCCAATTATTATACTTCAGGGCTTTTAAAATGTGATTTTTATGGTTACAGAAACCTAACATCATATTCAAAAGTAAGTTTGGCTTTTTGTTTGGTTGGTTATTTTAGAGACAGGTTCTCACTCCGCTGCCCAAGCTGTAGTTGGGCTGTAGATCACAGCTCACTGTAGATCACAGCTCACTGTAGCCTCAAACTCCTGGGCCCAAGAGATCCTCCTGCCTCAGCCTTCTGAGTAGCTGGGACTACAGACAGGCACGTGCCATCATGCCCTGTTAATTTTTTTTAGAAACGGTGTCTCACTATGTTGCCCAGGCTGGTCCTGAACTCCTAGGCTCAAGCAATCTTCCCACCTTGGCATCCCAAATCAGAAGATTTTTAAAAATTACCTAGAAGCCAAATAATAATAATAATAATAATGTTTGAGGCAGTGTCAACACATTACAGAGAAATTTTCTTATCTAATAAGAGTTTTGTTTCAGTAAAAATTACAGATAATGCTATCAATGTCTGATTATCTATACATACCTCGAGGCCGTTTCTGGCTACTTAGTTGTCTTTGTGCCTCTCTTTGCAAGAAGATAATCCTTACTGCTTAGCTGTCTTGGGGTACTTTTTAACTATGGAGTATTATCAGGAATACTTTTCAACGATCAACCATGTAGATCCTAGCTCTATTATTTCCCCTGAGAAACAACAGCATAGACACTGTTCATGAAATCAAGACACAGGCCTCAGCTGAGCTGACGCTTGGCCGTGGGGTTGACATCTGCTGGGCGGCGCTGGCATGGACAGGACCAGGAATAGACTGCAGTGATGCCTGCTGCACAGTGGCGGGCTCTGGGTGGCAACTCTCTACCCAGCCAATTTTGCTTGACCTAGAAACATTAAGTCTGGAAACCAAATACATTTCTAATTATTGACAATAAAAGTTTTGAAACAATATTTGTGAAAATATGCACTGCTACCGTAGACACCCTCAGACATCTTTCATAGTAAACTTCAATTGCTGCTTGATCTTTTTCTTGTCTTAAATGCAGGCTTGAACTTTTTCTTAAGGTGACACATTCTTTGGGTGGTCTACGTGGCCTGCATGGGGTTCCGCAGTGGCCCGG